TTAAGTAAATTCCAAGAAAAGTGAGGGCCGTAAGGCAAGAATATAAATTTTTAGCCAATTACTTAAATAAAAAAGAAATTTCATTCAAATGGCTAATCCCAGAAGGGATGTTAATATCGTGGAAGGGAAGAAAAATTAAAATTGATTCAATAGAACAAGCACAAGACTTCCTAGAACAGCTAACAACCACGGAGGACCAACATGCTAGGGAGGAAATTCAAAGGAACATGCAGGAAGACTGTAACCGCCATAGGAACAAAGAAGAAAGACCCGTCCAAATCCAAGGGAAAGACAACTTACAACAGGAAAGAGAAGAAACAACCCTATATCAACCACAAGAAGAGAGCCATATAGTTACAAGACAAAAAGCGAAGCAGACTTAGGTAAATGGAGGAAGGAAGGAAAATTCTTTCCACCATTATAAACGGTTTAAATTCAAGACCCAAAAGGAAAAGGATTCTAACCAAACTAATAAAACAAAAGGTTGATATAATTTGCATACAAGAAACACACATTAGGAAAAATGACGAGAAATTTTTAGATTGTCCGAAACCGGGAAAATTATTCACAGCACCAGTAGATAAGCACAAAAAGAAAGGTATTGCAATATATATGAGAGACGACTTAAAAACGGAGCTAATTTGGGCGGACCCTGAAGGAAGAACTCTGGTGGTACAAATTTCGATTAATTGTATTACATTTTTACTAGTAGTAATCTATGCCCCAAATGATGATCAAGGTAAATTTTTCAAACATCTCCACCAAAACATAATAGGCTTTGAAAAAGGCAATATTTGTCTGATTGGCGATTTTAACTCTATTGCTGACTATCGGAAAGATCAGAGTAACACTTGTAAGAATAAAAAAGGAAAAAGAGAATTTTCGAAGCCATGTAAGGATATGATGAATGAACTGAATCTGGTAGATATCTGGAGAAAGCTAAACCCCCAAAAAGAACAGTTTACTTATTATTCTAACCCACATAAAATCTGGACAAGAATAGATATGGCTTGGATAAACGGTGAACTAGTAAACGAAGTCAAAGATAGCAAAATCTTACCAAATGACTGGGCTGACCACAACCCAATTCAAATAACTTGGAGAGGTAGAAGAAAACCAAAGAAAAGATGGACACTTAACACCCACTTAATAAAAGAAGAAGAATACACTAACAAATTGAAAGAACTTAACTTTTTTTTAAAGGAAAACAATAATGAGTTAACTTTGAAACAAAATATATGGGACACAATGAAGGCAATTATAAGAGGAAGAACAATTTCTTACAATGCTATGAGAAATAAAAGAAAGTATGCCCAACAAAGTAACCTACAACAAGAAATTAAAGAATTAGAAACCCAACTACAAAAGAACCCCAAAAACCAAAAAATACAAAATCAGTTAATGACAACTAAACACAAACTGAATTTACTGGAACAAGAAAAATTGGAGATAAGTCTGAAAATGACCAAGCAAATCTACTTTGAGCATGCAAGCAAGCCAGGGAGATGGTTAGCCCACAAACTCAAAAAAATGAAGGAAAAAAACTGATACACCAATTAATGGACAAGAGGGGCAATTTGCAAGATGAGATAGAGAAGAAAAAAGAGATCACCCATAAATACTTTGGGAAATTATACAAAAAGGAAGAAGTTAGTGAGGATAAAATAAGGAAATACCTAGAGGAAGCGAACGATAAAGCAATTGGAGAGGAAGAGATAGAACTATTAAATAAAAATATTACATGGTCCGAATTGAAGTCAGCAATAGAGAAGCAAAGCAACAACAAATCGCCAGGACCAGATAGGATACCTGTAGAACTTTATAAAACAATCATAGAACAAATTGGACCACTGATGTTAGAAGTATTTAATGAGGTACTCTTAGCAGCTAGGATGCCGGACTCGTGGAGGGGAGCCTTAATTTCGCTGATCCCGAAGGAGGACCTAGACCATAGATTCATTAATAATTACAGGCCGATTTTGCTCCTGAATGCAGATTACGAACTATTTTCTTCTATTATAGCTAATAGATTGAAACAGGTTTTAAACACACATATCCATGAAGATCAAAATGGATTTCTCCCATTTCGACAAATCAAGAATAATTTAAGAACAGTGATAGACATTTCAGAATTCTATGAAGCCCATCCGGAAAGACAATTTGCATTTATGTTTTTGGACGCTGAAAAAGCATTCGATAATTTAAATTGGCATTTCTTAATACAAAAGATATACAATATGAACCTGGGCACTAGATTTGAAAACACCGTAACTACAATTTACCACACCCAACAGGCAAATATTCTAATAAATGGGGAACAAACTGGCCCAATAAAAATAGAAAAGGGGGTAAGACAGGGTTGCCCTCTCTTTCCTCTGCTTTTCATATTCGCTCTATAATCACTTTTGACATGCATTAGGCAAAATTCGAGAATTAGAGGACTGAGGATTAAATCAGAAGAGTATAAAGTACAAGCTTTCGCTGATGACATGGTTTTCTTTTTGGAGGAGCCTATAGAAAAAGGACATAACTTATTAGAAGAATTAGAATGATTTGGAGAAGTTGCAGGACTCAAAATTAATAGGAAAAAAACGAAACTAATGACTAAAAATTTAACAGGAGACCAGAATAAAGTGTTAGAGACATCAATGGGAATACAGGTGACAAAACAAATTAAATACCTAGGAATTTGGCTAACTCCACAAAGCAAATCTCTAAAAGAAAATAATTATGACAAACTACTCCAACAATCTAAGAAAGATTTAGATTCCTGGAGTAAATTACAGCTTTCTTTACTGGGCAGGATTGCCTTGATTAAGATGAATATACTTCCAAAATTTCTATATTTATTCCAGACAATTCCAATCAAATTAAATAAAAAATTTTTTATAGAACTAAATAAGATAAAGCTAAAATTTATTTGGTAGGGAAAAAAAGCTAGGGTCAACATAAAAGCCTTACAAGATCTGAAAAGCAGAGGAGGGTTAGCCCTGCCAAACTGCGAAATATATCATACGGCAGCCATTTTACTATGGATAAAGGAATGGGTGAATCTAACCAACAAAAGAACACTAATATTAGAAGGCCACGATATGCAGAAAGGATGGCATGCCTTCCTGTGGGAAACTGGAAAACCCAGGCAATCATATTTCCATAGGCACCTTATCAGGGACTCACTACTAACCAATTCGAAAAAGGACGTAAAAAACTCTATCTAAAAATACCGATTTGGCTATCTCCAATGGAAGCGATAGTACACCCTAATAATTTGGATATAACTAAAATGATTAAATACGAGAATTTATTAGACCCACAAGGAAAGCTGAAAACACGACAAGAATTACAAGAGCGAGGATTTATAATTGATCAGTGGGTGTACCTTCAAATCCATAGTAGATATAAACAAGATATTAAGGAATTCGGAATCTACAATAAATTGCAGACTTTAGACAAAATTCTATTAGGACCGAATAAAAAATATATATCTAAATTCTACAAACACTTATTGGAAACGGAACTAGAACAAGAGATTGTCAAGGGAAATATGATTGCGTGGAGCAGAAACGTGGGACGGAGTATCACCCTAGCAGAATGGGAAAGGATCTGGAATAGGAACATTAAGATCACGAAATCAGTAGCTTATAAAGAAAACTCATATGAAATGTTTTATAGATGGCACCTGTCCCCTTCGAGATTGGCGAAAATGCACCCCAACACGAGGTCCAAATGTTGGAAATGCCAAAACATAGAAGGTACCTTCTTCCATATGTGGTGGTCATGCAAAGAAACTCAGAAACATTGGCAAAAAATTAGGCATTGGCTAGAGGAGATTACTAAGGAATAAATTGAGTACAAACCAGAGTCCTTCCTTCTAGGAATTTTGGATAAACACGTATCCAAAAAATCGAAGTATATTATAATTCATATCCTAACCGCGGCCAGATTGGCATTCGCTCAGTGCTGGAAATCACCTTCTATCCCCACTGAACAAATGATCATTCAGAAAATTTTAGAATGCGCCGAAATGGACAAACTAATCCAATCACTAAAAAATAAAGAATTATAACAATTGGAATCCTTGGTACAATTGGCTAAATCAAAGATAGACTATTTCGAGAAAAATTGTAGCCAAGGGCTACCTAAGCAGAGTTAATGAAAAGTACCGCTGACGATATATTTGAAGAAGAAAGGATCCTACAGACAGTCACAAAAATATGGTTTTATTTTAACTGTTTTTCCCATTCTATCCCCCCTTACCCTTCCCTCTCCTCCCTCATTTGCCCTTCTCTCTTTCCCTCTCGGCCTCTGCCAAGGCCTGTTTGCTTTCTCTTCTGTATATAATTTGTAGATGTGTTGTTTTTAATGGTAAAATTAATAAAGTTTTTCTAAAAAAAAAAAGATGTTAACATTTTGGACATTTGCTGGTAACTAGATTGAAAACAGTGGCACTCTTGATTTCTCTGTTAAGAAATTGGTTATGGGTTGAAGAGTTTTATATATCTTAACTAAGAACAGAAGAGATTTTGGAATTGTTTATATTTGCTATGTTGATGGTGGAAAGTTGTTCCTTGGGGAAGAGGGGATCTTCTTATACGTTTTTCTTGATGTTGCATTTTAGTAAAATTATTAAAAAAGAATCCTGCTGAATTTACCTAAGGTATCTGGAGTTGCACCTTTTCCAATCAAGTGCCATACTTAAATTGCGCAGTAGTCTAAGCAACGCGTATGGATCTTAAATGTGAATATCCAAAACATTTTAAAGTCAATACTGCACTTTAAGCAGATTGTACAACTTATTACAACCCATATGACAACATTGCTTGAAATATTTTGCATTCCTTTATTCAAAGTCAGAAAATTACTTCCATTCATTCATCCATGATTCTAATTAAAGTATCAATTATAATATTGTGATAGGATCATAGTTCAGATAAGATAATTTTCTCAATAATTTTCTTTTCATTTCATTAAAATACTTTACATTGATCCACTGAACTTACTTTCAAAACACTCACTTTCTCCTTGTATTTCAGTAGCATTTTTGTCACTAGCATAGAAAAAAAATAAGAACTTAAACATTTGTAAAGTATTTCTAATCTGCAAACTTTACCTTATTGGCAAAAATAAGTCAAACTATAATACAACATTACAGCAAATAAAGCCATATTGGATAAATGGCTTCCCTTTTTTTTTTTTTTTTTCAAAACCTTCAGTGATGGAGCACTTTCAATTCTGAGAAGCAAATTCTTCCAATGGTTAAGTGCTCTCAATTTCGCCTTAGTTCCAGGTTGGATCTCTTTCTGAGAGCTTCCATCCATTGCTTTTTGTTCTACCCTCAGGTGTTTAGGAGAATAAGTCAATCCCCATATCTCTATGACTTTACCTCAAGTACTGGAAGACAGCTATCATGTCACTCTAATCCTTAAATTCATTAAACTAGACATAGTTTCCTTAATTTCCTTCCTTAACTGTTCATCATAAAATTTAGCCTCCAGATGCCTTACCATCTTTGTGGCATTCTTCTTTGCACTCTTTCTAGAGAATCAGCATTTTTTTTGTTTCCCGGTGACCAGAATTGGATGAAGTATTTCAAGTGTGGCCTCACTTGTGCAGTATAAAGTGGTATTATCACTTATTGTGATTTAGATGTTATCCCTGTGATGCATCCTAGCACTGCATTGGCCTTTCTGACAGCTGCAGCAAACAACTGGATCAGACTTAAATGGTAGTCCATTAGGACATCTAGATCATCTCAAAGTTATTACTGCTGAGCCAGGGACCACCTGTTCCGTACCCATGCATTTGTTTTTTTTCCTGCCAAGTGCAAGAGCTTACCGTACATTCCTCACCACTGAATTTCACCTTACTGGATAGGGCCTGTTGCTCTACTCTATCGAGATCATTGTGAATATGACCAAAATACACACAAACACACACTTTATAATAATCTGGTTAATTGAACTATGTGTCTGTGTCATGCCCCTGGTGGAGACTGACTCTGAGGGAGAGAAGGAACAGCCAACAGGGAGTGGGAATGTGGCTCCAGAGGTTGTGGAGGCGGCTGGGGAACGGCAGAGGCCGGCTGAGCAGTCAGAGGACCCAGACCGATCCCCTATCCATCCTAGGGCATGCAAGGAGGATAGGATAAGGGAGAGATGTGGTCTACTTGGGAGGAGAGGGCCTTCATGGGCTGCAGCTGTGACAACTGAATAAGAATGTGGACCTGCGTACCAGCGAATGCTGGAAACAAAGCGTGTAAATATCTATAGTTCCTCTCTGAATTTGGCATCCTTCCCAGTATGTGTTATTGTGGACATCCTCCAGCCCTTATCTTGCCTCGTTTGTGTTGCTTTTTGCCTTCTTTGTGTAACTGTTTGTGTGGGAGTTTTTTTGTCTTCCGTCAAAGATATTCGGAGCTTGGAAGCAAAGGGAAGGAATAAAATGGGGTTCACCTGTTTTCTGTGACTGTGTTTGTTTTGTATCCCACCCTCGGTCATCACATTCTGTGTAGATAGATAGATGATAGATAGATAGATAGATAGATAGATAGATAGATAGATAGATAGATAGATAGATAGATAGATAGATAGATAATTTCAACATTAGAGCTTTTCTGTGCATACAGTCAAGTATATTTAATAAATGACAAATCTGGAGTGAAACTTTAGCCCTTTGAAATAGTTTTAAATGAAATTACAACCATATAATGGAGATATTGTATTCACTTCCAGACAACTATAATAAAATGAATATCACAATAAATCACACATTCTTTTGTTTCCCAGTGGTTATAAATGTTATGTTTATACTATATACTGAAAATATCTACAGATCCCTCACACCCTGGACATAAATTGTATGAACTTCTACTCTCAAAACGCTATACTAGGGCACTGCGCACCAGAACTTGACACAAGGAGTTTTTCCCCCGAATGCCATTACTCTGCTAAACAACTAATTCCCACAACACTGTCAAAACTATTTACTAAGAGTGTATTACTATTATTTTTCTCATCCTTCCTACTACCTATCTCCTCCCACTTATGACTATAACCTTGTTGCCTATATCTCTATGATTTATATTGTTTTGTTTCCTAGTATTATTTTATTGCTTATTTAGTAACCTATGATTATAACTAAGTGTTGTATCTTATGGTTCTTGATGAATGTATTTTTTTTCTTTTTATGTACACTGAGAGCGTATGCCCCCAAAGATAAATTCCTTGTGTGTCTAATCACACTTGGCCAATAAAGAATTCTATCCTATCCTATCCTACTTTCCTGTATGTGTAATCCTTGATTTATGACCATAATTGAGACCAAAAGTTCCATTGATAAGCAAGACAGTTGAGTTGTGCCCCAATTTATGACCTTTTTGCCACAATTCTTAAACAAATCATGCAGTTATTACATGAATCTGGCTTCTCCTATTGACTTTTCTTGTGAGACGCTGGCTGAAAAGTTTACAAACAGTTATTATGTGACCCTAGGACAGTACAACTATCACAAATACATTCCAGTTGTCAAGCGCCTATATTTTGGTCACATGACCATGGGGATGCTGCAATAGAAGTAAATAGGAAAAATGGAAAATAGGGAAAATAGTCAATGTTTTCAGGGCCATTTTAACTTCAGTCACTAAACAAATGGTTGTGTAAGTTGAGAATTACTATGGTCTATTAAGTGTGCAATAGCATTATTTCTTAAAAAACAGCATACATACATATATACATTTAAAATATTTTATTGTTAAAATGCTAATCATGATCTTATTAATAATGAAAAAGTTTAAAATATTATCAAACTTGAGAATTACCAAAATGCGACAGAGATATGAAATGAGTACATGCTGTTGGAAAAATGTCACTAATAGACTTGCTTGATGCAAAATTGCCACAAACTTTCCACTTGTAAATTAATAAATAAATTACCAAAAAGTGACATAGAGCTCTACCAGGGAGGGGAGGGGAATTGCAAAGCACAATAAAGCGAAGAACAATAAAACAAGCCATTTTGTATATATATAAACCAGGCTTGTCCAACCCGCGGCCCACGGGCCGCATGCGGCCCAGGTCGCCTCGTGATGCGGCCCAGTGCCCACCCCAACCATCGTGCCACAGCCAGCGAGAAGGAGGAGAGGCAGGCGCGGGGCGAGGCGAGCGCCAGGCCAAGCAGCAAGAGAAAAGGCGGGCGCCGTCAGAGCGCCACCTCCTGCTGTTGCCCCCGCCGATTCTGTAAGTATTTCCCACCCGCAATGGCTCTCTGCTGGCTTTAGACTTGATTCCCATCCCAGCAGTCCCACATACTCCTCCTTATCTTTTGAACAGCTCTGCAGCCTTCCATGGTGCTGGGATGAGTTGCTTTGTTGCTCAGCTGCATTCAGTACGCCTTATTTCAGAACGCTTTAAAGAGATGGGGAACAGACTAGAAATTCTTAAGCCCGATCCCATAAACAAATGAAATCTTGCCACAAAAACACCGAGGGAAACTACCGAAACGGGACTTCCACATTACGCTTATCAGCAAATCCATAGCAATCTTCTTCAGTCCCGAAGTACGTTCCACTCTTCTCATTTAAAAATGGTGTGACGTATCCTACGACTGAATTGTGCTGAGCAGGCAAAGAACAAATCACTCCATTTTGCCTGCTTAACAAGGTTGCACAGCACTATGGAAAGCTTCAGAAGGCTTGTATATCACTATGCAAAGCACATTAAGACAGGAAAACGGAGTAGTTTGAACCCGGCCATATGGTGGCAACCCAGAAGTGGCCATTTTACCACAGGACAAACTGTTTTGCTGCCTTAACAAGATTGAACACCATGGCAAAAAACTTCTAAAAGCTGCAGAAAGCTTTGATTATTATATTGATTGCATGGGGAAAGCAGGGATGGGGAAATTGTTAAATGATATGCTTCATTTAACAGCTATCACAAATGCAAGTGTAATGAGAAGGCTCGTTTATGGTCATATCTCAAGGACTACCTTTATATGTCACATATAAATTTTTAATAAGAATCTACTTTATTTCAAAAACAGCCTACTATTTATTGTAATGGAACAATTTTACATTTAAAAATACCCAAAGTTATCAAAACTCAGAATTTTAGAAGTATCTGAATATTTATTTTCATTTTATCAATATAAAATGCTGCAATATGTGATAGATTCTCATATATTTTAGTAAACCTGTATTATCTATTTCAATATAGTTTAAGAAATAAACAATTACTCTTCTCTGTTGAAGAATCTTAGCCTGTACTCGGTCCTTAAATGATTCTGTTAAAAGAAAATATAATGCTTTTTGAAAATAAAAGTAAAATAAAAGTTCAATACAACCCAATAGAATTATAGATTAATCTGGACGACCACATATTACTTTCACATCAGTTGTTCGGGAACTCAGGAAGCTTTCATTTTCTTTTGATAAACCATTTGTATACAACTGTTTATACACAATTATTCTTACAACCTGTATTTTTCAAATACTTGTCATAGGTTTACATTTATCCATTACCAACAAATGTTACTAAATATAACTGAAATTAGCTATTTTCATTATAAGGTGGGTTAATGATGATGAAATTTTAAAAAACTTTTATAATCTATTTCTAAAAGAACAGTCTATTGAATCTTTTGTAGCAAAAACGGTGACCTGTCCTATGCCATCTTACACTACAAAAACATCCCATCAATACAGTATAAATGCCATCAATATGACATATATCTTCTATTAACAAAATCCGATTACCTTTTACATTAGACAAACACACAGTACTCATCCTTAAGAAACTTGTTCTGAAATGAAATTATTCTAAATATAAGCAACCTTATATGGCCTCATGAGACAATAAAATTAGATTAAGCATTAATTAATTAAATTAATTAAACAAACAAAAATTTGTAGCCATCCAACTTACACATAAGTGACTCCAGATAACTTACTGAAAGTAATGCAAAATATATTTTAATATAAAAATAGTGGTGTCACACCTGCTTTGTAGATAACCACTAATTATAAGTATCCTATTAAGTGTTTCCCCTTTGCTCTCTTTCCTGAAACAA